TCGTCAGTACGGTGAGTTTGCATATAGTTTAGAGCCAAAATCAAAAGCACTCTCACGGGTTCAAACCGTTTGGGCTGCAACCAGGGCAGGGTGCCTCTATTGATATCAGTGTGGTCCAAGGCAGACAGATGCACAGATTCAAGGGCAACTGCTACAATTGCGGCCAAGAGGGACACATGTCCTGAGAATGTAGAAACAGGGTGCAGGCCGCCCAACAAGAAAATAACCAAGGGTGCCAGGCACACCAATTAGGAACAGAAAAGCTGGACAATCAGCTCAAAACTCTGGCCAGTTATTTGTACAACAAAATCTGGGCCTTCTTTTATGACCAGCAGGTCGCTGAGATGAAGGCTCAGGGAGAAGACTTTGGAGCTTAGGTCATTTGCTCCTATTAACAATGAAGTAAACCACAACAAGGTGGCCCCTGCTCTGGGGTGTTGCACAAGCAATAAAACAAAGGGGGTGGTTGTCATATCCATGCCAGAGGGCAGAACTCTGGAATCTCTGAAGAGGATATTTCTCAAGTCTGAACCCCCCAAATCTTTGGTACTCTCGGGATTACGCTCCTCGTGTCCTTCCGGTCAGCATAACCCTGTACCCCACCTCTACATGGTACTCCAGACATCCACTCTGATACTCCTGCACTGGACTTCTAGTCCACCATATGTTTTCCTACGAACATTTTTATACTCCTTGTGAGGCAACACTAACTAAAACAAAAACAAAACCTATCTCTCAGCTTTTGCAGAGAGGAGGAGGTCAATGAGTCTTGGATGTTGATAAATACGAGTGAATATTGTAAGTCAAGGATGAGGTTGAGACTCAGAGGTTTCTGATATGGAGTTTAAACAGGTATTTCAACTAATAAAAAGCTCAAGAACTATACATGGATATGTAGGGTTTTTATAGCTAATTGTCTATCTCTCTGAACCAAAAGAGAAATAAAGAAAGTCATCTGAGGATGGGACTAACCAATAAGAAAAAGAATAACTATGGTATGACTTCAGAGATTAATAAGCATGTGAGAGAATGTACTAAAAATAGATTTGTCAGGCACGTTCAGGAACCGTATCCCCATGATGAGGTACAATCCTGAACAAGGCCTTTATTAATATATCCAGGCACTGATGGGACTCGGAGCTGGTTAGCGAGATCTCAGCTACTAGTCCTTACTCATTATGCTGGCTGGCTGGGAGTACTACCCATTCTCTGATCTGCGATATGAAGTGGTATCTACGGTTAAGAAAACTTGTTAGGGCAATAAGAAGGAGAATAGCAAAGGACACTTCCAGCCCTAAGGCTAGAGGTGTAATGGGGGAAGTGTTTGAAAACCAAGACATGAAAAGGAAGAGGTATGGAAAAGTAAATGGTCCTTACACTCCTCATGGACTCTGTAGTTTAGACCTTATGGTACACTCCTGCCACATACAATTTCTCTTTGCTAGATAAATGTCCACATGGAACTCTGTACCTATATTATGAGTCACTCCTTACAAGCTCACACTCCTCTGACAGTTGTAGCTCCTGTACTCTGTTCCTGCAGTTTGAATATCAACTAGATTCCCTTGCCTTACTCAAGTCCCATTCTAAGTTTTCTTGTCCTTCTCTTAAGGACCTTTACTCTACTCTTTTTCATCCTCTACTCTCATCTGTTCCACTCTGACAAGTTAGGGACCAAGGTCCGCGGAAGGGTCTAACACACGAGCTAAGTCAATCCCCAACCTTGTACTCCGTTTCCACTTCCCACTCTATCTCTGCACTCCAAACTCTGTTCTTCCAAAAGGTCATGGTTCTGAAAGTATATTTAAACTGACACTTCCCAGACCCTCTATATCTTTCCATGGTCAAGTGCATATGTAACACCTCTCAGGGAAACACCAAATTCCTCAGCTTTTCTGCTTGTCAACCCCTAGAGGTGCAATTGATCTCCATGGCCCCTCAATGCCTGACCTCTCCTCATACCCCCAGGGGTTCCCCAATCCCTCCCAGCTCACCTTGAAAGTTTGAATACTCTGGTGCACACAGCAACAAGCAAAAAGGAAGAGGGAGGAGTGGATAAACCCCTTATGATAGGACTGAGTTAGTTGTGGGTAAACAACAGGAGGACTTGCTGAGGAGTCTCCTGGTTCTATTGGGTTTTATATACTAATACAGGGTGCTTGTACTTATGTACTATACAGTTGATGAAAGCAGTGGCCAATGATCTCATAGGGCACAGCCCATGTGACCAGCTCACTGCTTGAGAGAGTCCGGGTCTAAAAATAAAGGAAAGAGTGCAGCACAAAAAAGTGAAGTTTGAACAAAAGGAAAGTGCCGCATGGCACGATTGTGTGAAAACTGAAAAGAAGGTTGAAGTGGAGAATGAAAGTTAAAAGTCCAAAAATTGTGTATTGTAACACCTGGAATACGGGCAAGAAGGTGGATAGAATTGATCCCTAGTGTATACATGGTGACCTAAACTGCAGTCCAACACAAGCAAATAGACCGTTTGAAATGTTTGCACTCTAGGGTGCCAACATGTGCGGTAATACACTGCTATGAGCCAATCCAGTGTCTCAATGATATTATGACAGCCAGTGTCCCCCAAAACTGATGTATTTGCAGTAGAAACACTGGCTGAGGTATTATCACTAATGTATTGGGAATCATCAGAACCAATTTGCCAATTCTACAATTGTCAGAGTTCCATCGTGGAATGGAGTTATGAGGCTTACCAGGAATGTGGGTCAATATCAACACCACAGCAGAAGAACTATATTGGCCATTTACTCTGTGGAACACATTCTCAACGTGATTGTAGGTGTTCAATTGTTGTCATGAAAAATGCACTGGCGGAGATTATTTCAAAAATTTCACTCTTTTTCATTATTGAAAATTTGGCCCAAACCTTGTGGTGGTACCATGCAAGTGGTAATGATGTAGCACAGATCCGATCAGAGTGATCTTTCAAACAAATGTTGCAAGACCTTTAAACCCAGGTTATTTCCAGCAGATATCACCACCAGCATTCTCCTATCCTCATCTTAGCCTATACTTTAACACAGTAAATCAACCACACTGAAAATTTGTGGAAACCCCCACATACTCATTCACTGTATACTATTACAAAAATGCCTTGCTATTTCCTGTCAACCAACTTCTGTGTCACCTACAGCCACATGCATCCTTCCACAGAAAATTGGTTGTGTTCTGCCAGAGTCAAGCCTCCCAAGATGTTCTGGTTAATTTGCAACCTGGTGACATAGCATTAGTGAGAAAAGGGATTAAAGAGTGAGTTCTTTTGCTTGTCCATTTTTGAGTCCTCACAGATGACAAGGTTACTAATGAACTGGGACATGAAATCTATCATGATTTGATAAAATGACCTGCAATGCGTACTTTGTCAATGTGTTACCTTACAACTCAAGTATCCCATCTTACCTTGCAACAGTCATTTGAAGTTTGGTGAACTTGATGAGTGGTTCAATGCATTTGGGAGAAGTGTTGTTGTGTGTCAGAGCCAGACAACAACAGATTTGCGACAAGTTCTGGATATTATAATTTGTCAGCAACACTGCATTCTGTGTCATAGTTAGTAGTGTCCCAATGGTGCCACCTTGATCATACCAGTCACGAGACACATACCACATCTGGCATGGGAAATTATTTATAAACTGTACATTACCCAGAGAGGCAACATTGAGTTGGCCTTTTTGGCCTGTCTAAGCCTGAAGACTGGATTGGAGAGGAATTGATGCCCTCTACTGTGTCTACGTTATAGACAGGATACCTAGGGGATGTGATGACCCCTGGGATCCTGTAGATTGAAGACAAGTGGAGGGGAAGTGATACCCTCACAGGGTCAGACTTATAGAGGTCACCCAGGGGATATGGTGCCCCCTGGGTCCTAGAATTTAGGACATCCAGAGGGGAAGTGGTGCCCCTGGGTTTGGTTAATTGTGGTTAGAGGGGAAGTGATCCCCTCTCCATTGTTTCTGACAAAACCAGATAAACCTGGTCTCTGCCAAAGCAGCCATTGTTC